TAGAAATGACCTTTCCTACAAAGATAATTTATTAGGTTCAGATAATCTCTCCAGACTGAGATAATCTCTCTTGTCCAACCTCTTCTTAGATATGGACATTGGGAACATTTACCACGGGATGAGTTTGTGAACTTCCAAGTTAACAGCTCTCATTTATTACGGTGTGACCTCACCTCCCTCTTCCACAAAAAACAAAAAAAAAACCAAACAAACCAACCACACACACACAAAACCAACCAACCAAAAAAAAAAAAAAAACAAAAACAAAACCAACAACAACAACAAAAAAAACCATACTACCAAAACCCCCAATTTCAGCCTAAAGTGCTGTTTGTACAATAGGAATTAAAACACTTGAAAATGCTCAAGGTGCACAAGCCACTGAGCACAAAAGGAAAATAAAGAGCACTTCTAAACCACTGCCAACAGAATCTCTGAAAGTCTCAGTTTTCTGTGCTGCCTCCTAAAAAAACCCTCTCTGGAGCTGTACTCAGCCAGCACACTGCACCCCCTGGGTGGCAGCTCCAGAAAAGAGGAAATGCAAGAATTACAGCCTTCAGCACCTCACTGACCCTCCAGAGGAAGAAATTTTACAGCAAGGACCAGTCCCGTGGGAGGGGACTCTCAGATGTGACCTTCTGGCACAAGAAATCCACCAATTTACTGAAGTTCTGACACTGAAACTTAAAAATTTCTTAACATTTGGGAGATTGCAATGTACCTAGGCTTTAAAAGTTCTTTTTAAAACACGTCGTCTGTCAGTTCATCACAGATCTGAATCCTAATAAATGGCTTTTAGAAACAATCTAAAACCCATTCAAACCAGGAACTGCCTCTGTCAGCACCACCTTTGTTACTAAAACTGTTGAGAGACCCTGAGGGAGGTACAGGGAAAATAAAACAGTTAATGTAAATACAGATGGAAACTAAATTTATATATAACAACATTTCATATGTTTCAGCATCAAAAACACCTTTTTAACGTAACTTTCAGGTAACAACCCCTTCAATTCTTTAATGATGCATTTCTACGGTTGTAAATGGCAGCAGACACGTAAAGCACTTCAGAAACTCACACCAAACGCCCAACCTGCCAGAGGAGCAGCACCAAGAGGGGTTGTTCCAGCCCTGTCACCGGATCCCATCCGAGGCACTAGCAGGACGATTTTGCCCGCGGGGGTTCCCTTACCTGGGTTGCTCTGCAGCTCCGTCCCGAGGGCTCCCGAGAGCACTTCCTCGATCTTCTGCACCATCTGATCGCCGGCACAGCCGCCGGCAGCTCCGGAGGCGTCGGAAGGCTGGGCTGGCTCTGCCGGGGCCGTGTCCCCGTTGGGCTGGGCTTCCACATTCCCCCTGCCGGGACAAACGGCGGCTCAGTGCGGGCCGTTCGGAGCCGCTGTTTGGGCGCTCGCACACGCGGATCACCCCCAGCCCCTCCGAGCAGCGCTCCTGCCTCCCGGGGAAGCTCTGCCTCTGGATTAACTCTCCCGATCCACCCCGGCGGGCACGCCGCGAGCGCACAAGGATGGCGAAAACCATGTCTAGAACGTGCCCCATCCCCCGAGCTCGTACGACCTCGCAGGGCCTCCCTCCACCGCACAAACACCCACGTCTCGCTCTCCTCCCGCTTTTCCGCGCTCTTCCCAAGCTTTTCCTTGTTTCGCGCGATAAACCCGGCGAGCTGAGCCGCAAGTGGGATGAGCAGCGCGGGCGGCCGTCCGGCCGTGAGGACAGCACCGGAGCCGAGTGTGCGGGTCCCCTCGCCGTCCCTCCTCCTCCTCGCCGGGCCCTGCCTCCCTCACGGCGCCCGCTCGGCCGCGGCCCCGCCGGCCCCGCCATGTTGCCGCCGACACGGCCCTCAGGCCGCGGTCCGCCCCCCTCCGCCCCGCGCCCTTCCCCGGAGCCCCTCGCCGCCCCGTTACCCGCCGTGCTGCTGCTGCTGCTCGCCCTGGATCTCCCGTAATTTGCTGACCACAAAAGACCGAAGGATCTGTTCGATATTGGTCGCCATGACACCCCCCCTTCCTTCCTGCCCGGACGCGAGGCCTCCAGCATCCCACAGTGCACCGCGCCCGCGGGCGCGCGCTGACGTCCCGGCTGCAAGCCGCCTCGCCATTGGCCGCGCTCGCTGTAAGCGCTCTCGCCATTGGTCGAAGCGGCGCAGGGCCGCGGGCGGCCGCTCTGGCGCGGCGCGGGGGCCATAGAGCGGCGGCGGGTTCCGGCGGGGGGGGAAGAAGGTCTCGTGTCCCCTCAGCCGCCGCCGCCATGTTGTGGCGCTCCCGCCGCCACCCCCCCTGCCTTCCTGCGCGCCCGCCGGCAGAGCCCCGGCTGAGCCCCGGCTGAGCCCCGGCAGAGCCGCGCCGAGCGCGTCCCCGCGCCCGCCTAAACCAGTCTAACGCACTCCCCAGCGCTCCGCGCCCGCCCCGCACAGCCCCTTCCCCGCGCACACACACACACACGGCCCCCCCGCCGCCGCTCGCGGCCCCTCTCGCGTCCCGTACGGCGCGGCCGAGCCTCGCTCCGGGCAGCCAAGGGCGCCGCGGCCGCCCCCGCTCGTCGGTGCCGCGTCCCGCACACCTCCCGCCCGTCCCCTCCTGTCCCGTGCCGTCCCCCGCGGCGGTTCCACTCACCCGGGCTGGGCCATGGCGGGCTGAGGCGCGGCGGCGGCGGCGGGCGCGGGCGGCAGCGATGCCATCGGTGCCCATGGAGCGGGGCCGAGCCCCGCGTGCGCTCCGGGGCGGGCGGCGGCGCTCAGGGGGCCGTGCCCGCGGGCGGGCGGTGCTGCCGCCGCTGCTGCTGCATCACCGCGGGGCCCTCAGCCCCGGCTCCATGCGAGAGGCGCCCGCCCGCCGCTCCCTCCCCCTCGGCCCGGCGGTGACACGCACATGTGCTCCGGGGGCTGGCGCCGGGGCCGCGAAAATTAAAGGAACAAAGAGGGAAATCCGCGGGGAGGGGGGGAAATAAAGTGCGCCTTTTGCCCGCCTGCGAAGACGGGGCTTCTCTGGAGGTGCTGGAACGCGGCGAAATGAGTTTGTCCGGAGAACAGCCACCCTGAGGATCCCTTAGTGCTGCCCTGAAATAGTTCTCAGTTATACCTGTGTATAAAGCAGCCTCAGTCCTGTAAAAGTGAATAATCCTACGGCTAGAAGACTGTCCACACACGGTTTCTGTAGTAGGAACTTAGGGGGTTTAGCTGACGTGAAATAAATGTAAAATACCCCAAAACCTGCTCTGGTGAGTGGCATCCCTGCCCACGGTGATCACTACGTGAGCTTTAAGGTCCCTTCTAACCCAAACCATCCCAATATAACTCTTTAATTGCTGCCGGGGTCTTTATTTCCAACATCAGCCTCCAATAATTTTTAATAATAACTTCCAAGACTCTTTAATTGCTGCTGAGGTCTCTATTTCCAAAGTCAGCCTCCAATATTGTTTGATAATCACTTTCAAGGCCCTTTAAAAGCAGCGTAATTCTTCACCGTGTTCTGCTGCTCTGCCTTAATATTGACTTTGAAAAAATAATGGATCAGAGACTTGGATCAATTTGTTTACTTTTATGTCACACTCGGTTTCTTACATTTAAAATAGAAACCAGTTATGTTAAGAAGTCCTTTTGCCTGTTTATGCCCCATCAACACTGATATATTTTAGATTTACTGGTAGAATATTGTATGTAATTTTTACTATTAATGAACTAAAGACTGAAAGTGTTTCACTTGAACAATTTCAGACATATTTAGATTCCCCTGATGCAAATGGCCCATACATGCAAATGATCTATACATGGAAAATCATGAAGAAAGATGGCAAAAAAAGGCCAGAGAAGGATCTTAGTGTGTGCTGCATGTTTCCTTCTGACTCTTAAAAACGAACATAAGATGCTAACTCCAGAAAGTCCCTCCTCGTACACATGAGGATCCACAGCCTCCCAGGAAAATAACTGCTCTTGCACTCCCATATCTGCCCGCTCAATAAACTCCCTTTATTTAAATACGTTTCAGTGTCAGGTGGCTTTCAGATTAATTAAATATTTTACTTTCATCTTGTCAGGACCGATTTGTTGCTGTTAATGTTCAATTTGTAGCATTATGGGGCTTCACTAAAAGCAGTTCTGCTGCAATCACCAATCCTACTTAGAGCCTTTATTCGTGTAACTGTTCCTTTTGAAACCAGAGTCTGAGGTGTGCTTAAATATGCAAAAATATTTATTAAACCTTATTTAATAATATACAAAGAACAGGGAGGTTTTCACACTAGCTCTTGAAGGGAGGAAAACTATGGATCAAATCTGCTTTTTTTAACAGTATTGTTGCACAACTGGACTAAACGTTGCCCAATACATTTTGGGTTCATTAAGGAGAAAGTTCAGCGTGGGACGAACTAGG